TAGTATCCTGAAATGTTAAGCTTTCAAACAGTATATCATATGTCATGTTTTATAACACTTCATATTTGGTCAATTTTGGGAAATGCTGAGCACCCAAATTGTGAAACCTGCCATATGAAAGCAACAAATTTTCTGTGGACCTATTGAATGAGAGGTGAACACCTTATTAACCTTAACCATGAGAGCCTCCATACTTGTCTGTGGACAGGTGTGCTTTTGCATATCAGGTCAGGGATACGGAGGAGAGGAGTTCCCGAAGGTCATAAACCGGATGACCCGCGTGTCAAAGTTGATCTCCTCTACTAATTGAATTTCATGGAATATCAAAATGTGGATGGAATATTCGTAATAAGCCTGTTTGGGGCTGTTCCTTTTATTTGTGAGGCATGCTGATGAATGAGTTACTTCTCGCAATCCACAAATGGAGATGTAGGCCGAAAACAGACACATCAAATTTGCAGATTTTATTTACTTCTTATTTCTGGCTAGCCGCTCCCATCGGCTGGTGGTTGGAACCACTGTGCTGATGAGCTGCTGGCAGTGGCTCAGACATATTCCTTTATGATGACTTCGAGGTCAGATTAGTTTTCGGTCTCTTTTTACTGGGAGTTCTTTCATTAGATGAAAAACTATCAAAATTGTTTTGATTAACAACCAGTTTAGTGACGTATTTGTCACTTTTAGATATCGTACCAAAATGTGTGTCCACAGCGGTAAATCCAAGGATGAACTCATTTTGTCAGCGCGTTTTGTTACTAGCTGTTAACCTTCCCCATAGGTCGATATTTACTGTGCTTCATGTTCATCCTGGGTCGTTTTTTGACCCATATGAATAAATATCAGACCTACATAAAATGAAGAGAAGAATATGCTCTTGCTTTTTTATAATCAAACATGTTTCTTAGTGCATGATTGCATCATGTGTAGGTGTGTTGTTGGGGTCAAGTCACAGCGGTCAGCACAGTCTGTGCAGTATGATGCATTGTGTGTGTGTGTGTGTGTGTGTGTGAGAGAGAGAGAGAGACAGAGAGAGAGAGAGAGAGAGAAAAAGCATACAGTCATTGCTTGTGGTGACAATATTTTTCTTTTATAGATTTAGTGATAAGAAAAGATTGGAGATAAGATAAAAAAATTATTGTCCAAGAGGAAATGTCTGCACATCAAATGGTACTACTTCAATAGGTTTATATTGATATGTGAACAGCTACATATGTACTCACCAACAACCACATGCCGTATACAAAATACATGTACGCTCATCAACTCTCTCGCTCTCTCTTTCACACACACACACATACACACATACACACACACACACACACACGCGCGCGCACACACACACACACACA